AGCAACCACAGGATTTGTTTAATGGGTACCTTTTTATTTGCTGACTGATTTAGATGCACGCTTGATGTGAGTATTGATGGGATCGATCAAATGATGTTGGTTAATAAATGTGTATTTTATTTAATGGATCCTTTTTTTGTCTCCATAACAGAAAACGGTTATATTCAGAAGGCTGTAAACTACGCTGGAGAGATGTTCATCATTGAGGAGATTCAGTTGACTGAAAACCCAGAACCCATCAGCATCCTTCGCCTCTCATCCAGCAAGGTAAGAACACGTCCGTTATGAGTTCAGTTTGCTTATCATCATTACAGGTAATAGTCGTTTACGGTGTTTTTCTTGGCAAATGTAGAATAAGAAGCTTCATTATGATTGTATGTTTCAATTTGAATATGTCGTCACTTAATTGCCACCTACAGGCAGTAAAGAGGCTTCACTGGTAATAAAGATGAAACACTTTCTGTTTGCATTCACAGGGCCAGCTGTACGCCGGTTCAGAGTTCGGCGCTACACAGATGCCGGTCAGTAACTGCAGCCGCTACGAGTCTTGTGTTGACTGCATCCTGGCCAGAGATCCTTACTGCGCCTGGGACCCCTCCTCCGATCAGTGCTCCTCCGTCAGCAGCTTGAGCTCTTCTGATGCCGCAGTACAGAATCTTGCAGGAGATGTGTCACGGTGTCCTCCGCCAGGTACGTTTATTTATGTGGTGTTTCAGAACCTTCCAACCCCCCAAAACCCACTGGTGAATTCGAAAGCCAGGTTATGTTGTTTTTTTGTTTTTTAAATTGCCAAAATGACACCATTTATTAAAGCCAGCAACCATAAAAACAGAAAGAATTGCTGAATTTTCAACTTTCCGACGGTCCTTGAACGACTCATAACTCACTTCTCTCACAGTGAAATTAACCAAAATCTAAGTTTAAAATTGTGATATTTCATCAAACTCACTTTATTCTGCATGTCTCATTTGAACATCCATCCATTCATTATCTATACACCGCTTAGTCCTCACTGGGGTCGTGGGGGTCTGGAGTCTATCCCAGCTGACTCAGGGCGAGGACAGGTCACCAGTCTATCACAGGGCTACACTTAGAGACAGACAACCAAGCACACTCACATTCACACCTACGGACAATTTAGAATCACCAATTAACCTCAACATGTTTTTGGACTGTGTGGGAGGAAGCCGGAGAACCCAGAGAGAATCCACGCTGCACGGGGAGAACATGCAAACTCCACGCAGAAAGCTCCCGGGTGTCCTCACCCGGGATGCGAACTGGCGACCTTCTTGCTGCGAGGCAGCAGTGCTAACCACTGCGCCACCTTGCAGCCCTCATTTAAACATTTGCAGTAATTTCTACTGTATTTGTTTTTCTAAGAATGTAGCAGACCCCAAAGATCTAATTCTAAACCTGTAAATGTGCATAATAAGGCTCTTTTAAAATATGAATTTGTTTACCTGTGCAGATAATAGACAGAACGGTTACTCTTCTGTTGTGTTTCTGCTGTTTAACAATGTCATAGAACTCCAGGACCTGTTGTGTTCATACAGTTCTCATATTTATACTGTGTTTCTGTAAAAAAAAATTGTTATAAATTTGGGCTCCTTGGTGCAACTGAGAAGCAATCAGTGACTTAGTTTTGACCAAGTGACAAAAACTTAGGAGCTGTCTGGTTAAACTGGGATGAACTGCAGGCTGTGTTCAAACCGCATATACAGGAGAAGTACGGAAACAAAATAAAAATGTACCAAGTAAAAAATCTATAGTATGTAGCGATGCCATTTTCTTCCAGTATTATAACACTTCTGTTTTACTTTTTTTCATGATTTATGACATGATGCCACACAGACGACCGTCTTGAGTCATCTCTGCTTCTAGTCGTGGTTGTGCTGTTTCCATAGAGGTGTAAGACAGTGAAAAATAAGCCTAGAGCAAGTAAAAATGTGACAGGAGCAAAAAAAAATAAATTAAAAAAATGCCTGAAAACTGCTTGGGGTTCAGGAGGTTAATGCATTAATGGGAAGACTTTTTGTGTGAGTCCAAGCAGCATGAAATCTGATTAAAGTTGTGTTTGTGTGTGTTTTTTAGATCCGGTGGCAGCTGTCGACTTCACCCTGGTTCCACAGAACAACATCCAGCTGCCTTGTCAGCTCCACTCCAACTTGGCACAGGTTCACTGGCGGTTCTCCGACCGAACACTTCACTCCGACAGCAAATACTACATCTACAGCGGAGGCCTCCTCATCCTGAGTGCCTCCGAATCAGACGCCGGCCTGTACGCCTGTGACTCGGTAGAGCAGATAAGCGGCACAACATACAACCGCACTGTGGCCGTTTATCACTTACAGCTCTACTCCGGCCCGGCGGAGGGGGGCAGCTCCACTCCCGGCACCGAGGTGACAAATTCCTCAGACCCTATTCACAGCGTGAGCACAACAGCACCAGGGCCGGGGCTAATCGAGGAGCCGCCGTCCCCTGAGAATCAGAGCGACGGCGGCAGGGTGACTCATCTAGAGGTGGCCGTAGCCGTGCTGTCACTGCTCTGTATCTCCCTGATGGGCGTAATATTCTGGATCTGGAACCGAGGACGCTGGGAGTGCTTTAAGTTCGCGCAGAGCTCCAGCTCCGGCGAGGTGAAGAGGCAGTCGGCCGAGTACATGCACATCCAGAACAGAACTTCAGAGATAAAGCTCCTGGGGCCAGAGTCGGGGAGACCTTGCAGTGCCAATAATAATCACACTGCTGTTGACTTCAAAGGGAACGGGGAGCACCACTTCACACCTATGGCCAACATTTCAAGTCTGGATGGTCTGGGATACATAAATGATGAGTCAGAGATTTGACTCTGCTGAGGTATAGAATTCAGTCCAGGACCAGCACCAGTGCACTAATTATCTTCCTATAGGTGTCCTCCTACTGAGCGCGCTCTGGAAAACTGTTTTCACATTATAAATTCTTTTGATTGGTGTCCTGTTTCTCCTTGCCAATTTCCTACAACGTCTATCATTTCCTTACTGCAACCGGGCAGCTGATGCACTCTGAAAAAAAAAAAACAAAGACTTGTGGAAATCTCACTCCGGGAAATCATTGAAAAGACACGTTTTTATAAATATATATTTTGTATAATGACAAATTGTGAATACTCTTGTGTGTAATATATTGTGTACAGCCAAATTCTTTTTTTTTGACTATTTATTTGCTGCAGTTTTTATTTCAGCTGAAAACTTGTAATCTTGTAAATACTAACTGTCAACAATGGAAAAGTAGCATTTTGATTTCTAAATTCCAAGCACATTTCATGTAATGAATACTGCTGTTTATTTATACCATCAATCAGTGGCTGTGTTAATGATTAATCATCAGCCTGCACTGTTCTTTTATTTCCTGGTGGCAGTTAAAAGATGGACTACAGATATACCTCTGCTTTTCAACACTGACAAATCACTCATACAATCTTTGTTATACCTCTATCTGCCATACAGAAAAGGGACTATTTTACTCCAGTAAATGTTTTTATCATCATTTAGGGTGAACCGAGTAACCAGGGGTACACAGCCGCATTTCAGATTCCAAGCATAAACTGAAGTCTTACTATGAAAAAGACAAAAATGTCACTGGAATGTTGAAGTGTGGGCGTACGTTTCTGTCAGCGAATCGACTCCGAGACACATCACATGTAAGAATTTTGGTGTCAAACTTTGGAAAAAAAAATGCTGCCTTGTTCATAATAATAATAATAAAAAAAAAATATGTAAAAAAAAAATAAAACTTTGCTGGGAGTTTGACGTGCATCTAGCTGTCGGTGATGATTAGCTTCTCTCTCGCACAGCTGAGGAATTTTATTTGAACGTGACATGCTTGTTGTCTTGATGTTTCCAGCAGATACTCCTGTGGTTTGTGGGGCGGGAGACAACACAACACACACATACAGAGACACACACACACACA